TGTTACCGCTATTTCAAATTAAAGAAACAATCAACAAGAGTTTCATCTCACCTGCTGGAAACATTACCCAGGTGCTTGATCACGGTGAGCATGATTTGCTATCATTATGTATAAAACCTTTTTATGGTAAGTATGTTACCTTAAACAGCTACAAAATGAAACAGTGGATCAAAGTAAAAGTGTTCTGTGGAGGAAAATAAGGAAACCACAAACTCCATAAATTTTATAAGGGAACATTTACTGGTAATGAATATACCAAACATGGATGAGGCACCAGCAAATAACTTTTTTTTTATCAGGAAATGATTAGTCTTTATTAGAGAAAGGAATTTGTATCTCTGCTGAGGAAAACTGGTTGTCTGCCAGAATTTTAGATAGTGACACATTTTCAGAAATTAAAAAGCCAGTGCCTAATAACAATCGGACAAACTTAAATTACCGTTTTTTTCCCGTAAAATGCGGTGTTTGTAAAAGTGATGATGGTCCCTTGGTTTTGAAGGTAAAAGGTAGTAGACGATTTTGTATGCTAGTGCAGTTGACCATGTTTTGCACTGATCTTAAAACATGCAAAATTTTATATATTTAAGTGAGGATGTTCATTCATTTTTGAATATAATGACAACTATGTAAATTACTGTGTTTCGAGACTAAGCATGTTTTATTTAAGAAAATGTTCCCACGTATTGCTGATGAAAGTGAACAAGACCGTTTCGTGTTTAGTAAAGCTTTTATAAAAAATAATGGGTCTACAAATATAAATTTAAGTGCGGTTTTGTTTTTCGTTTTTTTGTATCTGGTTTATTTTAATTTATTGGTTTATAAACATTAAGTGCAACACTACAAGTCCAACTAATTTTTTTTGTAATTATCGCCATTGACAATTAGTTGACCATTACTCTAACATTTGTAAATGTGTTTTTAGTGGCCCGTAATAAAAAGTTATAGTTAAGGTTGTGATGTTTTAAATATATTATTATTTTTACTATATATATCATTTTAGCTCACGTAGTTTCCATGATTCTAAGAAAACCAAGTCTTGTATTTTAATTGTTTTATGATAGTGACATAGTTCACAGCCCTTCAGTGGCAGGTCTGCGGACTTACAACGCCAGAAACCCGGGTTTCGATACCAGTAGTGGGCAGAGCACAGATAGCCCATTGTGTAGCTTTGTACTTAATTACAAGCAACCAACAAAAACATAGTTCAGCCATTTGGTGTCAATTTCTCTTGATCCTGTTGATGTACATAAACAAAAGTTCTAAGCTTTGTTTACAAAGATGTTTATCTGAGGACACGCTATGTGTACTTATCTATCAGCACGTAATATTTACACAACAACTGCATCCAATTGCAATTAAGATAGGTACAACATGCAGAGTTCACAATTTACCACATGTATTTAATTTATATTACATATATCAAAAATTTTTGGTTAATTGAAAATATATTGGCTCACTAAAAATCCATCTTGTATTTAAGAAATGTTTGTTTGCTCACTAAAAATCCATCTTGTATTTAAGAAATGTTTGCTCATTTATATAAATTCAATTTTCTAGAAAAAAAAAAAAGCTGTTTTTGAGCTATATTAAAAATGTGTAGTGAAAAGTTTAGTTTTGTCACCAAAAGTTTATCAGGATATAGGAATTTTTTTGAAATGACACCACAACACTAAACCTACAAAAATTTAGCTTTATTGTATGTTAATAACATATTTATCATGAATTTTGAGAAGAAAGAAAAAAAAGTTTACCGGTTTCTTGTCATCAGGTTACACGTACTTTAATGCTTGTTGTAAGTATCAGAGCAATTGCAGAGTACGAGTTTTATACAAAACTCAAGATAATAAAATTGCAGATTTCACAATGATGGATTTTTAATCCATAATTTCATATCCAGGAAGAAGGTAGTTCAAAAATCTACTTTTCCCCACAATAAATTTGTCATTTGCCCATCCGCCAAATGATTTTGAAATAAACATATCTGTCCATGTGGAAATATTGCTATCACATACTTAGCAGTACCGTGGGATTTATAGTTGCTGTAAGTCTCACTTGTCCTCTTGAGATTAGTTGGTCTCTGATTAAAGATTCAGGACAACATTTTATTATTATTTCTCTTGGAAGCCAAATTATAAGTGATTCCAATTGCTCAGCTAAAACCGGAAACTAAGAATTACAAATATTGCAGGCTAAGTTAATCAAAAATTAAGTGCAAATTTAATCTCATTGGGACAAACATTATTTGATCTTCAAACGATACGTTCAACCAAAGTGAAGAATACTCGCTTTGCAACGCCTGTATGTAGTACAGCATCACTGTCGGCCACTAAATTTTTCAGATGCAGACGCTGTCCCTCCCTAGAGTTTGGTTTGAACCCCCTTTTCTTCTGTTAAAGTTACATTTGTCTGAGAAAACTTGTTTGAACGTCTGTCCATTCTTGTGCATAACAATGGTCACTGTGAAGTTTAAGATCCAATTCGTCGTACTGTGTAAACGAAGTTGCTGTTTCGGTAACGCTTTTATCACAAATAGTATCGGAAATGATACTACGTGTTTCACCAATCGAACTGCCTAATTCGTACGTTTCCTCATTTTCATCGCCACTGTAGCTTGCCGATTTACGTTTTTTAACACTTGGACTTTGTAAATGTTTCAGCAGTTTTCGTCAACCTAGCGTTGCTTTAGTTTCATAACCTAATTTTATCTTTGGGTGTGGGTTTATCTCCGTCGGCATTCCATCTAAAAGGTGTTCGGAACAAACATACACTTTCTTCGGCAACGTTTTTCGGTTAATAGCTTAATCCATTCACGTTTTGTTGACTCATCTGACGGCACAGAATGGAATTTAAACGGGATTAAACACGCAGTCTTGTCCGTGTGTTTCACACAGATTCTTTCTATATGTTCAGTTTGCGGCGATTATTTGAACCATAAACTGCACAAGAACTGCCTCCACATCTTTTATATCTTTCAGCACTATTCATGACATTTATAAATAGAAAAATGTAGATAAAAGATTTATATTATTTTGACTACAACATATATGTTATCTTTCACTCTTGCTATGGCTGACGCACCACGCTCGTTAAAATTGAGTCACACGTGAATAAATGCGTCAATAGACTCTGGTGTTATGTAATATTATAGGTGAAATAAGGATTCATATCATGGTATTCGTATTTTCCCGAATACTCGAAGAACTTACTGTAAATATTATAAATTCTTAGAAAAAAACCCTACTCGACTGAGATTTAAAACAAGAACTATTCCACATCATAATCAAGCGCTATAGTTATAACCAGCGACAGTCTTTGTAATCGAACGTTAACAATAATTCAAAGCCCTAATTTAAACTATTAAATTGTTACGATTTTTCTTAATATTGTATGATTTTGCTCTACACATGATGAATTAATTAAAAAAACAACAAAAATCCTCACTCGACCGGAATTTGAACGCAAGACTTCCTCTTGAGACTAACCACTGATCCAATTTTAATGTTACCAACAAAGAGCATTGCGAGCAGAGTGGCTTATATTTATATATATCTAACCAAAAACACCTTAGATGTGAAAAAAAGGTTGAGGACAAGAAAAGGATTCAACGTGAGATTTAAGCTGCACGCCGAATCCTTTTTTCCACACCCGAGGTGTTTTGGATTAGATATCATGACTTTTGTCAATACACACCAACTAAGAAAATACACTCAACAGTGACCCACATTAGCTTTAGGATCGCAACTCTATTACTCGGAACAGACCTTTACTTTACAGAATCAACCATATTCTTTGTTTTATAGAGGAAAACTACCACCATATCTTTTAGTGTTAATAGCTTCCTTTATAGTAACGCCATGGAATTTAGATTAACAGTTTCTTCTCACCACCCCCATGCAATCGGTACAATAGTTTTGCTGCTCTAAATCAGCCGTCTTTAATCTGAATGACAAAACACTTAAAACAGTCCACTTTTACTATTAGATGAAGCTGTAGTAAAAATGTTAAGATCAATAGCTCACATGATATTTTGCGTAGGCGTGCGCAAATATATGTCAAATTTTAGCGGTTTTGTTGACTTTGCACATGTGGCTTATATTTACACCAAATGAGACTCCTAATTGTAGGTTGAAGAGATCTATCGTTGTATTAAATTTGAAGAAAAAACCCATAAAAGTTTGTTTTTTTATATCAAATAAAGTTTCCGTATTTTTGGTGCGAAGAACAGAAAACAAAAAGGAAGAAAATCAAAACTGGAGATGTTATAGTTCAGTTATTTTTTAATGGGTTGCCTTGAAATTTGGTGTGTGATGTAAGTGTCCAGAAGAGAACATCCACTGAAAAATATGATAATTTGGATTATCATATAGTCCGAGCTACAGAAAGTGAAAAAAATCGCTAACAATCATTACTGTTAATAACACTGTCCTGCAGCATGTTATTTTAGCCACGTGACACACTACCGCTTGTCTTGATAAATATATATTATATTAACTTACGACAATTAGGCTCATAACATTCAAAGTTCTATAAATTTTGTGAACCTTATTAGCAGCAAACTATTTCTTACAGTCACGAAAAACTAGTACTCTAAAGACCTACAGTCACTTCATTTGATTCGTTTGCTGAATTTTGTGCAAAGCTACTTCAGGAATATTTGCACTATAAAAAGTCCAGCTTGCTAACCACTACACTACACTTGGCCTACACAATATGTTATAAAATGCAATGCGTATTAAATTTTACTAGTATCGTTCTTTTAGTGTAATAGAGATATATTAAATGCACATTAGGTTACCTAGAAATATTCAAGTCAATATAATACATACAAGGATTACGGTTACAGTGAACTATGTTTCAGGTTTACCCGTTCAGTAAGAAAACATGAACGTGGTGGTAACACATGAAAATGTGAAAGTGGTAAAATACATGAAAAATAAGCCTAATCTTTGAAAATAGTTCATTCTAAACTGTGGAATTACAAAATTAAAGGGCCAAACAGATTTACTATAGAAATTTTATTCTGGCAGATCATAGTATCAGTTAAGATGAATATACAAAACTTTCTTTCCAACAGAAACGGCTTAAGCCTTTCTGGGTATTGGATTAGATCAGACATATAGTTACAGATAATGCATAGATCTAAAAAACAAACCAGTCACCCAAGTTTGATCTTCAAATAAATGATGAAGACTGCTTATATTCTGGTAATCATTCTGTCACACAAGTTAAGAAATACAGTACTTTTTTTTCTTCTAACTATTTCACAAAAGTCTCTATCCTAAATTTTAGGTAAGCATTAGAGACGTTTATATATATATATTTATATATATCGCTATTGTACATGTTACTGGGAGTGAAACAAGGAGTCATTCATGCTCTGAAACTTAATCAAGAAATAAGGTAAAAATGTATTAAGTTTTAAAAGGGGGATACTAAGAGGAAGTTTTTCATATGGTCTCAACTCTGACTATAATATGTTTCAAACAAGAGGTGTAACAAAAGTGTTCAGTGGCAACCTACATTTAAGTATGAAATTTCTGTATGTCTATAAGACTAATTTTCAATTATATTAATTAAATGTGAAAACAACGTGTTTCAACATTACTTTAAATGACCATGAACAGTTCCATGGTAAATTCCACAGTGCTAATTTAAGATATGTTACCATGAAACAAAAGACAGATAAATCATAAAAGGATTAGGTGTAGTTAATACCCCGATGATTTCATTTACTAATTTTGTTTATGCAAAAACGAATGAAGGAAACTTATTTCATCATGATTGTACAACCTCATACATACATTTACATACTAGGACAATCCCCCCCCCTCAAAAAAATAATTAAAATCCTAATTCAGATAAAACTTTATCAGAATGTAATAATAAAAAAAAAGGTACAAAAATTTAGTTCTCCAAAACAGCGAACAAGAAGGATTAAAACTTTATTTATAACAAGAAAGAAAGCTCATAACTACTTTAAATTTTATAGTTTACCCCAAATTCTATTCAGTAAAAATCTTTCTTGCCCTAGACTAGCTTCATGGAGCAGACAATTGATAAGAAAAGTAAGCACATCTTACCAAGCAAAGCCTAACAGTCTCTTAAGCAAAAACTCAAGATTAGTGATAAATACCATTTAATTATGTTTTATTGTATACCCTGCAAAAAGAATATTTTCTTTGATGTTAACCATAAGGTGCTTTTATCCATTGAAAATTACAGAGAATGACCCAAGATCAGGTAAAAGGCAGTTAGGAAAACATTAATCAATAGAATTTCAGTTAATATAAAAATGAAAATAAAATTTAATGGAAAGCTGGTCATACTTCCAATGTGTAATCCCACAGGTTCAGGTGTCACCAGCATTCATCGTCTAGGACCCCAGGCTACAGGCTTAGGGGGACCATTTCCTGCTCCAAAGGACGGGAAATCTTGGGTACTTGTGGTGTCAGGAGCATTTTGGGATTGTTCCCAGGGGCCTCCCTTAATAATAATTTCTCTTGACTCTCCTTTATTCCAAGCGGATTCTTCCCCAGAAGATCGTGTTGATGGTGCCATATATTGTTGAATGTACTCATTTTCTGATATATCTTGAAGCTAATAAAAGGGAATAAAGATTTATGAATTATTTTTTTGTCTAGTGTAGCACAAACAGAACTAAAAGAAATTTATTTGAAGGTACTAGAGAAACTATCACATTAAAATCAAAAATAGATGTACCTATTTTTCACCACTATTCATAAAACATTTTAAACTGATTGTTACCCAGGACCTCTTGTTAAAGTCAATGAAATATTCAGTTACTCCTTTCTGATAAGATATTTTATATTATTATTTTATTTATTTATTTAGTTATTTTTTATGAGGGCACATACAAGTTTTTTAAAATCCCCCCCCCCCTATTCACTTAAAAAGTAGAACTAAGAGAAATGATCAGATATAGTACAAGTTTATTTTGTAAACTGAATTATGTAAAAACAAGAGAAATTCTCAATAGCTGCGGTGCTTGAACTTCTTTTAGCCAGAATTAGAAGAAATTAATCTACGAAACCTTTTTTTCCTTTTTATTAGCTATATATTTGTACACCAGCAATACCAAGTGTGGGGCACACATATACCTGATTCAATGTTATTATTCATAAGGATCTCTACCAGCCTACCCTCAACTTGAAATTATTTTAGGCAGGATGAGAGTAAATTAATCTACAAGACTTTGGGCATGGTCAAATACACCAGTTGAAAGGGTTTGACCATCTGAGCCTAATACTGTAATTAGATCTCAAATTGGGCAAGAGATGGAGCTACGAGCTAAAAGCTTGTACCTGAAAAAACAAAACTCTGCCATTCTATGAGCTACTGTGCCATGACTAACAAAACAGTTACAGACAGATAAATCTGGAGACTAAGAAGCTGTGTAGTCTGTAGAGAAATTGTGACTGAAACTTCACTTTCAGACCAATGGTTCCAAAGTAGTTACAGCTATACCACATACTTTTTTTTCTCTTCTAATAACATATCATTGGTTTAAAAATGTTCATTGGTTATGATGCTTTTTGCTTGTTGAGGTTTTCAGAAATGATATTTAAGAATTATTAATTTGTATGAAAGTAAACACATATGGCAATTCACTGCATATGGACTTGAAAGTGTCAAACTTACAGTGTATTATGAGAAAAAGCCACTAATGAAGGATATGTTAACTTTGTTATTTCACTATTTACTGAAGACCAACTTCAATGGAAGATAATATACAATTATTACAAAGTTATACTGTTTTGAAAGCTCCATACATACATACATACATGATTAATTATTATAAATTATTTTCAACTATTTAATAGCAGAATAAAGAACATGAGTAATACCATGACAGTGTACGCCGAATGTCATTGTTCACCACAGGAGAGGCTGACCATGTGGGGACTAGCAGCTGTTTATCTACGCATTATTTTTCAGAAATACAGAAGGACTTTTTTTTTGGTTCTATCATAAGTGCCAGAAACTATGACACCTTTTTGTAGCCCATCCAATCCTCCAAATTGAGTCTTATCAACATGCAGACTAGATGTTAACAATATTTCAATATGTGTGCGTGCATGTGTGTGTGTGTTATTTTTTGTACTCCTTCACATAACTACAAAAAATTGATTTTAAAACCTCTTGAAAAGTTAGTAATTTTTTTTTGAAGGTTAAAACTTAAAGTACATGATTGGAACCAATAAAAACCTTGCATAGAAGATTAAGTCAAGCACAATTTGTTCAGATCGGTGTGACCTGGATAGGCTCACACTTAAAAATGTTCAATCAAAATAAGCTTCCTATCCAACTGTGTCTGGCTATTATAAATGTACAAGAATTACATCACAAAGCAGTACATTTCAGACCAAGTGATCATTAACTCGTGGGCAGAATTGTGTGGGAATCCCATGTTTTTCAAGTGCATGTCCCCGCAGAAACAGTACTTATTCAATCTGTCAAATGCAATTCCATAAAATTAGGCTTGTATTTCAACAAATGTGTATTACCTAAAACATACACAAGAAACAAAAATAACTACATTAATTTCACTTCACCAAAATTAGGCCACTTGCATAGAATTCAACTATATCGAAAACAAGGCTAAAAATATGTATTGCATCAGCAATCACTGCCTCCATGGTGTGAAACTGATATGTTAACCACACTTTATGGCCAGGTACATGACTGTTCTTACATTTGTGTTATGTATGACTCATTATTGTAATTCTATACCTCAAAGAAAGTAAATTAAAATAGCATTTCTAGCTTGAGTTAATTTACTGACAAGTAGTAAAGTACACACAAAATTACTGTACTAACACAACCCAAGAGAACCACCAAACTACACTGCACTTCTTACAATGTTAATCTCAATGGTGCAATTATCTACTGTTTATTAGGTTGAGCACAACTAATTTACATTATATAGTGGCACATCTACACAGATTACTTAAGATTTCACTTTTGAAACCTAGATGGTGTTGTAGAATTACAATAATAACTTGTTCAATGCGGAAGTAACTAGCAAAACAATGTTAATGGAATTTCATTCCATCAATTAAATATAATTGCTCGTCTTTATTAACTCTTTTGCTACAGTTAATACTTTTCAATATGAAAAACTGTGTGAAGGGTGTCCCTTAATTTTGATACAAAGGGATGCAGATCCCTTAAAGTATAGCACCTTGAAAGAACACTACATATGGAGTTTGGTGCTATCAATACTTCTACTGTTTGAACAATGTCTGGTTTGGATAAGACAGACAAGAATCAAATATAAAGCCAGTAATCAAATATCTTTACTTCTGATTCTTTATCACACAGTATGAAGAAATTGTATTTTGTGTAAAAACAAACTATGATATGTATTTGTCTGACTCCTTAATGTTATTTTGGGATACAACATCCTTTTTGAATTGATCAACAGCCTTATACACTGACAAAGTCTGAAAAAAAAAATGTTTCATTTTAAAACATTATAAACATTTGAAAAATGAATATTATAATTGTTATTTTCATTTAATAAAATACAAGTACACAGCAACCTTGCCTAAATATAAAGCAGTGTGACAATTTATACATGTTGTATACAAGACTATTTCTGTAAAAACACTGGTATGTTAAACCAACAACATAAAGCCAAGATTTGTCACTCACATATTCTTCTTCCAAGTTTAGCAAATGATCCTTACAATCTTCCACATTCTCTTTCAATCCTGTGATCATCACCAAATTAGGGGCAGATTCATTGGTGCGAGGAAACTGAATATCTACATCGTACTGGTCCATAATCTTTTTCCTGTTGCGCCCTCTCACTCCAATAAGTCGGGAATGGACACGGAAGTCTATTTCTATTTCCTCAGTAACCATCTCCTCCTAGTTTCAAATATTCTTTTATCATTAAAAACATTTCATTGGTAATATAAACAGAAAAGTGGAAGAAAACATTTTATAAAGTGGAGAAACCAAAACTATTTGTACAAGTTTTCAAGCTACAGACAATTTTGTTCAACATCATCTGACTGTCAATAAAGATAAATATAACATTTTTAGTTTCTACACTGAGTGAAGTCCCAAAACTATTTGGAAAAGAGTGGTTTTTAGCAATTAAATGATTAGGGTAATCTTTATGCAACTCCAATAACAAACCTGAAAAGTCACACAATACTATCTATTTGGTGGTTACTATATAATACTAAATACCATATATACAATAAAAGCATTTTCCTTTATTATTACATATCAAGAAGAGTTCACAATATCCTTTAAATCAACAACTGATTTTATCTTATTTTGATTTAAATATATGCCTGAAATTTTATGATACTGATATTAACTTTGATACATATCTACATAATATGAAACTTTTTTTTTTTTTTTTTTTTACTTCTTTTTAAGACCTTAGTAGAACACTAAAATTTGACAACCACCCAAGCAACATGTTATTTGTGTAACCTAATAGTCCATGCAATTCTTCAAACAGTTATTACTCAACTTACATGCTTCTGAACAATTCTAAGAATATCTTCCTTAGCAGCCTCAGCATTTTGTTCATATCCAATAATGGTAATGATGTTCTGTTGTGGATCCCCTCTTTCTGGGAGATGAATCTGTACTTTATGGGTTTGTCGAATTTTAGTTATAACTGTTCCCTTTTGGCCAATGATGTGACGGTGGTGTTTTGGATCAACTTCAACAGCCAACTGAAAGCTACGTAATACCTGTCATCATAAAACATAAAAATAAAGTTGAGCAATACAGATTGAGCTTTTCATTTCAAACTCTAAGTTCCTACCAAAGTTATGATCGACTAAGATTGGAATTTTGGTGATTAATATGAGAGAAATGATAAATTTAGTAGTCTTAATAGTTTGAAATGTAGTAAAACAGTTTAATATGATTTGCAATGTTATACTTGTATTCTGAAAATTATAGTTCTCTTCAACACATCACTAGCAGTATATGAAAATAATGTATACTAAATGATCTTGAAAACCATGTTGGGCACACAAATAGTTAAAAGGACATGCCCCACTGGCATGAAAAAATACTGCAGAAAATGTCTCACACTAAATAAAACACTAATTTCTGGCCAGTATAAAAAGGTGAATACTCTGAATGTTAATCATAATTTATTATTTTCATACCAACAATTTATGATTTCATGGTATGAAACCATTGCAAATGCAGGGTTTCTTTTGTTTACATTTTTTATTAGCTTGTACATCAATTGGTTGTTAAAGAAGCCATTGTTCAACCAAGATTTGAATCTATGCTGGGCACATACAAAATGTTACAGCAATTTATAGGGTAGTGCCATGTTAAGTAGCTTACCTCATGTGGTTACGTATATAGATTAACTTACTTAATAACAACTAGTCACCAGTTTGTGTGTGTCACTTTCCAACCTAACTGAACCCTACATGGACATATCTGTATTATAATTATTACTTTCCTTATATTATAACTAAGCCTAGACTCATTACTAGCGATAAAACAACAAGTATTCTACTGTTAATCAGAAGTCCCAAATATAGGTAGAGCTGGTCACAACTAAACAAACAATCACCTATGAGCATCGATTACATAGATTAGTGTCACAAAAATATCCAAATAGTGTTTTTGGCAATTCCAACATACCAATTCTTAAAATACTGCCATTCTGATTTGTCATTATTACTCTGACTACTTTATTTAGCTTAATTATTTAGTGTCATAAATTAAGAAAATAATCACTAATTAAAATTAAGGTTTCTGATTATTTCTACTATCCAAGTAATTGAAATATTGCCATTATATTTGTTTGTTTGTTAAGCAAAAAGATGCACAATTGGCTGTGTTCTGCCCACTATGAATAGTGAAACTAAAATTCATTCAAGCTAGTCAATATGTTTCCCATAGGAATGAAGCTTGTACTAAAAGAGAAATTGACAACTCTCTGTTCAGAAAACAGCATAATATGATATGTCATTTAAAGATGAAAACCTTGGCTTTCTATTGGTTATAAACAATACATTATTAAATGTACGAAATAACTATTAAAAAATCCTGAAAGAGAGGATGTGACAGGTGGGTGTGGCAAAAGGAGTCTGATTTTCTATTTGATGGCTCTGTAACCAAATAAAATTGAAAGCTATAAAAATTATGGTTTGTTTGAACAATGACGATTTTATAGTGAGTAATTTACATTAAATTTTGCACTTATTGGAGGGGTAGTGAATAAAATAGAGAAGATGGGATGCCTACAGAAAATGTTTTACACAAGTCACACTGGGGGAAATTCAGGATTATTTAAAATATTGCTTTATAAAATTAAGAACTTAAAATTTTTATACTATGAATATATGGATTATTAGCTACAATGTTATGCTATACCAATTGGTATAACAAACAAAAAGTAGTTTAATAAAATTTTGAATGTAAGCCACTAAATCCTTGTGATATGTGCAGTAAATGATAACCAGGCAGAGAGGGTTAAATGTCAAACAACACACCTGTATATTCTAAGGAATTTTTCTGCCCATCTAGAAGTATAACTAGGTTTAGTTAGTAGAGTATGTGGCAGCAAAAGTATCCTGATGACCCAAACCCATATTTATTGAATATTATTTACATGTTTACAGTATTCAAACAATGTACATAAATAAATTGGATACTTTATGGTTTCTAAATATAATTGTGATGCATTTTAAATAAAAACAGAGTTAGTGATAATAAAACTTTTACTGTATGATTTACAAAGTTTGGGAGGGGGTGTATTATTGTATATTCTAAAAACAAACAAAATGGCAATTACTTGGTTGTCTAAATATTAGGCAACTGCCATGTAATAAATGTTTAGATTATCTTTAAAAAGAAATTTGTTTCAAAAGTCCCCCCCCCCCCATCTTTTATGAGAATCAATTAACTGACTATCATTAATTGATGAGCCCAATGATTAATTGATTAGTAAATTCCTATAATTGCCGAGCTCTAGATATTGGTCTTAGCAATATTTATTGAGACTTGATATCTGGATAATATTTTATGATTAGTATCACCGCCACAACAGAATTATAGCTTCCAATTAGTGTATAGTTCTAGGGATATACAAAATTCAAGCACTAGATTTAAGCATAGACTTGAAAAGAACAACAATATATCCACGTGCAGCCTTGTTCTGATATTTATGCTTGCAAATGCTTCAATCCAAATGCAGATTTATCATCAACATCTTGGCTAGCCTACAAATTTAGAGTTCAGTCATGTGACACTATTTATCTAATCATGATAATATTGAGCATTTGTTGTGAATGCTTGTGTAGTTGGTGGGGTGGGAGATGCACTTAAAATATTTAGAACATTTGTTTTGACATGCTAAAAATCTCTTCTGGCCCCTGATGATGGTGTCTATTCAAGAAAAGTTAACCTTTTTTGCCCTGTACTAGGCATTTTGCTAATATTAAAAAAAACAAGCATTAAAAATACATCAAGCATTCATTATATTTGATATAACCATCTTACTGACCAATGTGGTCATAACCATTTCATAAGAAACAATATTAAATATATCAAAACACTATAGGATAAATAGCAGTATGTACTCAACCCTTTCTTGCTTTTCTTCTTCAAGTTCTTCGACTCTCTTCAGAAGAGCATCCTTTGCCTCATTTACATTTGCTGGTGGTCCACTTACTTCAATAATCTCACTTTCCAAGTTAGCAGCTGGCACCTTAATGCTTACATCATACCTGTCCATCATTTCTCGGACATCCTTCCCTTTCTGACCAATGATGTAGCGATGAAGATCATATGGTATTTTCACTTTCACAGTAATAGGCACTAGATTCTGGAACCCATTATTATCACAGAATAAATGCAATATTGTTAATAGTTTCATTACGAATTCATAACTCCAAAAGTAGCCTTTTAACCTTTGCATAAACAGAAAACAAATCACAATATAATTATTAGTAGAACCTAACATTACAATAAAATTGAAAAAAAATTTTACATTGATGGACTTCAAAAATTATTTTAGATGGAAATATTCCTGTTATTTAGCCAAGACAAAGTTTAAAATTTACCAAAAGAGCTTCTTTAGCTGCCATACAATTCTCATGCTTTCCAGTTATATAGATAATATCAGACTTCTTAGGTTTGCCATTTGGGTTGACATCATCAATATCACCATTCAGAGCCGACTCTTCACCATTATGATAGGAATCAGTAGGTCCTAAAATAATTTAAGTAAGAATAATACTCATTTTAACCCACTATCAAATAAAACTTTTCTATTAACTGGACTTTTAATATGGATTTGAACCATTAGGTCACAATAATTATATTCCCTAATAAGAATTTAGTTAAAGAAAAAAAAAAAGATACTTATAGACTGAAGATTTAATTTCAATTTATTGATGATACATTATTCATTTAAACTTTCAGGAGATATACATTTTTATAAGTTCAAAGTTAAAAAAAAACCTTTTGATCTCGCACTTAGCATTTTCACAGCTTGCAAAAAGCTGTAATAAGAAAACTTACTTTTAAGTTCCGTATTTTTAGTAAAGTTCTCCGAGCTACTTCAAACATAGTTTAATAACCCATTAATTTTTTTATTATTAAATTTTAATATTTACTATAACAGATGAGTCAATACTAGGTCTGTTTACCCTTATAAGTGTTGTTCCATTTAATCTTAAGGAATTATCTTACAACTAAAAAGATTTGCATTAGCTTATGCACGTTATAATATTTTAAGTAATGACTTTAAAGCTAAAATTTAAGATGTGTTGTTTTTCTGATACCACAGAAGTTTACAAACTTATTTTAATTAACATAAGTATCAATTTCATGCTTATTACTTATTAATGTATGTAAAAAGTGTTTAAAATATAACATAATTATAAGTTACTTAAACAAGTTCATGTTGTAGTATAAAAAACAACAACTAGTGCATGACATAGTAAACATAAAAATATGGAAAAATGTTTTGTTAGAGCTTATTTTTTAAACTGGGAATGCAAGTATAATCAATTATTTCAACGATTGATTTTATGCATTAAGAAGTAAATATCATGCTCACAACTGGCTACAGACAATGTATGTGTTAGTTGAACCAAGTATGTTGTGGAAAAAGGGAGCATCCACAACACTTATCCCCCTGAAATTGTAATGTTTTATATGCAATAGATCTGTTCACATGGGAAAACTATCACAAAATTCTAAGTAAGAAAAGTTTAAGAACAATGTCAAGTATACTGAAATGTCTTAAGCTTCAAGATTTAGATGCTTTGCAAACACAAAGATTTGTGTTTATTGTACTTAAGATGTTTCAAGTATTCTTTTAACCAAAATATTGTAAATTTCATATTTTAATAAACACTGATCTCACATGAATTGGATCCAAGAAAAAAATTTATATAACACTATATAAAAGTCAGAGGTTTGAAAGATCTTTTGTTTCTGTTGTAGCTAGACTGATATTTTTTTCCTCATTTAACCCTTTCTTCACGAGTATCCTATACTGGGCATGACACAAGGTTTTAGTTTCTTACATTAAAATTTTTATTATACTACTTTTTGTTTATGTTATACCAATTAGAATAGCATAAAATGTTAGCTAATAATCCATATTTTAATAGTATACAAGTTTTAAGTTCTTAATTATACAATGAAATATATAAAAAAAATCCAGAATTTCCACTAATGCGACACACGTGACACATTGTCGTAGCATGTCATCATCCCTATTTTATCCATCACCCCCTCAAAAATGTACGAAATTAAATGTAAAATACTCTATATAAAATAATTATTGCTCAAACAGACCATAATTTTTATAGCCTTCAATTTTGTTTGGTTACAGAGCTATCAAGTAGAAAATCAGACCCCTCGTGCCACACCCACTTGTCACATCCTCTGTTTCACTATGTCAAGTACACTGAAATGTCTTAAGCTTCAAGATTTAGATGCTTTGCAAACACCTAAAGATTTGTGTCTATTGTACTTAAGATGTTTCAAGTATTCTCACTTACATTTCATTATATATTACCTATAACCAATAGAAAGTCAATGTTTCCATCTATCATATGGCATATTGTATAACGTTGTGTTCTGAACAGATAACTATCAATTTCACTCGGAGTAGCAACATCGTTCTCGTGGGAAAGCTAACGACAAGTTAACGATGAATTTGTAACAGCTTTTATCGCATAGTTAGAAAGCCACAAAAATTTTTAGAAGTGAATTTGTCTACTTTTTGCATGTTATTAGTCTATATTCTTTGGTGTATTACTTGATTAAATAAAAATTGTCAAGTGCTTTACTATAATCGCTATAATAATAATAATAATAAAAATCAGGCGCAACTCTTCGATAATTGAGGGCAAGAAAAAAGAAGTTTGGGTAAGTACTTTATTTCTTGTTTTTCATATTTATTCTTTATTATTACAAAAGTAACTAAAATTGAAAGTACGGATCCTTTTAAGTTATTTAAGACTAGATTAGGTAAAATAAGTAATAATAATATAATTAAAATGGTTCATGAGGCACACACTCGAGCAGTTCGTGGGTAATGTAATTCGATAGTACAACGTGAGCTGCACGTTCCCCGAGTGATTTACAACTTATAATGGCAGGGATAGCAGTTAGACATGGTTCAAAGGGCAATAAAATTTAATTATAAATAGATGTATAATGTTATGAACTTAGAGCTAATTAGAATAAACGAATGTAGTTTTATGTTACAATCTGAAGTCATAATAGAAAAAGAAAAGAAGGTTAATTTAGGTTTATTTAATTTCTTTTTTGTGGTGACGAGATAGGGTAGAGAAAATAGCATAAAAACTATAAGGACTTTTGAAATGCATTCAGGAGGTTTTATGGATTACACATAGGGAATTTGAGATTTTTGAGATGAGGAAAAGCATTTTTAATTTTAACATGAAAATTACTTTGCACATGGACTATTCAAAACAAATACTCAATATATTCGTGGACAAAACTTTCTATTTTATTTTATAAGAAATACTTCACTATGAAATATGACTTTTTGTATGTGAAATACTTGTAATATTAACTGAAAGACTGCCAAATTTCATGAAGATATATCCAATATATAGAGTTATAAGTATTAAATTTATGTCAACTTTAAACAAGTACAGAAGGTCACATGACTCAGTCAAATTGACCGACCCCGTGTCAAAAGATTTAACAAAATATGTTACCAGGATAATAGTCAACCACTACAAGAGACCAAATGCTAGTCAACTTTAAAAAGTACCTAACTGTTATTGACAAGTTTATTAAACATTGAAATAAAAATATTTAAAAACAATTAGTATGATTGAAAAATAAATCAAATAATGCTCATTGTTAAAAATTAAAAAATTTAATGAAGTGACATAACTTCTAAGTCTTAGATTTAAAAAAAAACAACTACTACTATACCATCCTCTCTCACTTCACGGTCAGGGAACTTAATGTGGACACTATGCTCCTGGGTAATTGCTTGTATTTTATGCCCTTTAGCACCCATCACTGTTCGGTGATATAATTGTGGAATAATGCACTCAACTGTCACCATTGCTTCCTATGGAAAAGAAAATAGATCATACAATAAATTGGAAAAATTATTACTGTACTATAATTACTTTTAAACTTGCAATTCATTTTGATGAATCTAAAATGTTTATTGTAGTATGAAAACCAAATTAACACGAATAAAAGTATTAAGTTTCATATACAATTCCACTGCATACAACTGTAGGAATAAAACAACCATATTTAAATGTATAAATGATCAGGAAAAAAAATCGAAAAGAAAATCATCATATGGTTGATATTTCTCTTTTTTTTTTTTCCTATCCAGGCTAAATTGGGTCACTCCAAGTACAACATGTAAAGTAACTTATAAAAATTTAATTAAGAAATATAATTATTTCTGTCTCACTGATTTGTTCTATTAGCACAAAGCTACATAGCTTTCTATCTGTGCTGTGTGTCTGCCATGTAAATTGCATTCTAAAGTTTACAAGCAAGAAAGATCGATATTTTGATGTTTGGTCCAATCGTAAATCTGGTAACACCAGGAAGATGAAAAGAACAATATAATTCAGATTTTCCCCACATGTTCTAATTATTGACTAGTAGGTGAACAATATAAATTACTACAATCTATAACTATTTAACTTGATTTCAACTAAAAAAGTTTTGACAAAATTGTTTGTTAAGCACAAAGCTATACAATTGACTATTTGTAGTCTGACACTAGAGGTATTGAAACTCGAAATGTTAGATTTATAACCCCCAGACTTAGTACTGAGCCACCACAAAGCTATTGGAAAAAATATTACACTATGATCTGCCAATTGTAACAGTAACATACTTTGAAAGGTGAGGCTACTTGGTCGTTGATAAACACCAATTCATGTCATGTTTGTTGGAATTTAAACAAGAAGTTGGTTGCTTCATCAGCAAAATACAGTATCAAAACAAACATGTTAATGACCATCAATTAAGTTAATAGTGATTGGATATATAACAAAACTCTGATAAGTAATGAAAACTTCATAATACTGAAAGACCAAAAAAGTAAAGGAAAAATTTTATTGTTTTTTATAAAAGCTTCACAGCAAAATTTCACAAATTTCTCAACCTTAGAGTGATAGAAAAAATCAAATTTTATTAATTTTTTCATGTAGAACCTAGATTAACTTAATGGTGTGTATCAAGTTTCATGCAATTTAAGTATTTTTACTGTGAGAATGCAAGTTTGGTTGTTTTGGAAATTTGTACAAAGCTACATAAGAGCTATATTCATTAGTTACCCCTAATTTTGTACTGTAGACTAGAGGGAATGAAGCTAATGAACAGCAACCACTGCTAATTTTTGGGCAACTCAACTTGAACAGTGGTATTTGGCTCTTATAACACAACTGTGGCCTCAGGGTGAGGAGCATGATTTTTTGTTGTTTTTTGCGACAATTGGACGTGAATCATGCACCTTCAGTTTCACAGTTTGGCATGCTAATCGTCAAGCCACAGCCAGGCCTGAATGCTAATATAAAAGACCAGCAGTTTAGCATACTTAATATTTACAATGGATTCATTTGTACATTTAGGTTAGAATTGGGAAAATTAATACTTTATGAAGTTTTTTATATAATGATGGGCTCAACAAACTGCATTCATACAAAATCCTTACAAAGAAAAAGATACAGAGGCTTAAAAATCACTAATTATGAAAGAAACTTTTTTCAACCCAAGATTTGCTCATAAATTAACATACTGTACAAAAATGTACCAAGGCAATGCAGAGAAACCTAACCAGTACATAAATTTTCAAAACTTCTAATATACTCTATTACAATACTTTTCTTAAGTATTCTTAAAATATATTGTACAAGATTTTTGTTATAAAAATGTACATGTTCCTTAAATATATGCTAATTTCTACATTCTAGAAAACTGTCCAGTTTAAGATAAATTGAATAAAACTAAAAGCTGTAATTGTACTTCACAAAAAGTCTATCTCTGGTATATCTACAAACAACATCCTAAATATATATCCACTGAAAATGTTACCTACAACTAGTGAAAAATTAAAAACGTAGTTCAGGGGCTATCAACCTCTTTTACTAGTTTGTTCAGAAATAATTTACATATGTAGAAAATGTACGTTTTTATTTTACTACACTTTGAATATTCTATACAACATTAATACTGGCAAGTATAACGATTCAGAAGTCATTTTGTGCTTGTGGAGTAAACTTATCTAAATCTAACTGAGCTCAGTAATCTTACCAATTCAGAAACAATTTCCATTATCCTTTGTTTGGCTCCTTCAACACATTCTTTGGCTCCCTTTAAAACAACCTGATCACTTTCACTGCCACTACGAGGAAAACTGACATTAACTCCACCAAAGTCTTCAGCAATTTGACGTAATACTTCTCCTCGACGAAGAACAAAGTGTCGATGATACTTTGGAGGAACTTTCATCTCAGTTGTCACCACTTTATCCTATAAATATTTTTCCTTTATTATAGTTCTTTGTGTAGAAATGCCGATAAATATTTTAAATGTACATAACTGAAGAAGGAGAGGCAAAATATTCTTCATGAAAATATATTTATATACAGTAGTGGGAACTGTTAATATGCTTAACATTTTATTCTTGATACTTTTCATGCCACAATATACTTTTACTTTAACTGTTTCAATGCATATGTGGGTAAAAAACAACATCTGAATCCATTTCATAACAATTCCAAGCGATCATAAGTGTCTATTTTCACTGGTGGCTAACACTGACTAAGCCTCCCAATAGGTCAGGTATTTTGGGGTTGTAAAAAAACTACAGATAATGAAAAAGGTTTTTACTTTCTGAAAATACAATTCAAGTTTTTAAGCCTAATGTTTACCAGTATGATACAACAAGAGAACTTACCAGATCTTTCACCATGTCTTCAAGTGTCTTTCTTGCTTCTGTCACTGCTTCCTTGCGGCCAATGATTATAATTGATTCTCTGTCTTCATCTTTATCTGTGGGAAACACAATGCGAGCCCCTGTTTTTTCTCGTACCTAGTTCAAAGAATAAAATCTTTATTACCAATAAAATAAATAAAGCTGTTTATATACTACTTAGAATGTCATATTCTTAGCTCTTAACTAAAAAAATTAATGAATTTTAAAAGTTAAAATTTTATCTTATTCTAAAAACAACACACATTTATCCTTAACGCTCTGGATATGAAAGTACGGGAATCAAAGAGCATATGCCAGTCTTTTTAACGAGTTCCATTCAAAATTTATTTAAACTACTATATTAGCAATGTATTTCAATAACATGGCATTAAAATGTAATTAATAATTCAAATTTGTATATTATCTAAATTTTAGTTTGATTTCAAAAGGGACTAGAAATGCACTCAGTAGAGCACATACTTCCACCATCCAGTGTTGATCATATTTGGCTCTCAAAAAATAAAAGATTTATCCATATCTCAGTCATTATTAATGGACATGGACCATTTTTAGCAGGAAGATGAGGAATAATATTCTACACATTTCCATCAAGTTTCATCAAAATCCAATCATTTTTGACTCAGTTATAGAGCAAAAATAGTGTGAACAATTTGTCACCATGTATACAGACAGGGAGTTTTGGATTTTTGTGACCTTTCTGTGACCTTGAGTCTTCAAAAACTAAACATCCAAGTTGAGTCATAGCACAAGTGTATATCAACTTTCATCCAAACCAATTCAGTCATTTGAGAAATCTTGCTAACAAAACATAGACACACACACGGGTGTCCATTACAATTGGCAGTTGTTCTAGAAAACAAATATTAAATATTTTTCAACTTTTCCTACATATAATTTCACTAAAGTAAGTCTTATGTTAGATAAAATAAGAAATAGTTTACTGAAAAAAAATATTAATTTAGGAGGTTTAAGAGGTCATGCAAATGAAATATGAAAACTAAGATAAAAAAACAAGTTTATTCTTAGCATGAAAATCACTCTCTTCCAGATTAACTCAGCAAATGTTTTGTAAAATTCACAGTTGTTTTTGCAAAAATACTTTATTAAAAAATCTGATGTTCTGTGTACAATAGTCCTGTAATGCTTACTACAAGCTTGCCAATTTTCATAATACACTTAGTATATCCTGAGTTATACTATTTATAGTTTCATGGTTACAAGGTCTGTCAAAATGACGAAGCCTGTATACAATTTAGCTAAAAGAATAATGCAAACAACTACCCATGAATTTAGAGAGCAACCAAATAGAAATTACAATTCTTTAAAACAAACTTAAAAAAACTAACATGTTAACCCTCTCACCACAGGCATCTTTTTCTGTGCATATCATAAGGTTTAAGGTATTTATATTCAAAATTTAATTAAACTACTTTTTGTTTACATTATACCAATTAGTATAGCATAAAATCATAGTATATAATCCATATTTTTAATAGTATACAAGTTAAGTTCTTAATTTTATAAGGCATTATTAAAAGAAATCCTGAATTTCTCTTAGTGTGAGAAATGTTACTTTCTCTAGGCATCCCCCCCTTCTCTAATTTATTTACCACCCACCCAATAAGTATGACATCTAACTTAAATTACTCACTATAACATTGTCATCACTCAGTCAAAGCAAAACTTTTATAGTCTTCAATCTTTTTTGGTTACAGAGCCATCATATAGAAAATCAGACCCCTCTTGCCACACCCACCTTTCACATCCTCTCTTTTATGATTTGTTAATAGTTCTCTCTTACATTTAAGACTATTATTTAGAACCAATAATGAACCAAGGTTTTATCAATCAAATGATGTATTATATCACATTGCGTTTTGTACAGAGAACTGTCAATTTCTCTGAATACAAACTTCATTCCCATGGGAAGCACATAGACAAGCTTGGATGAATTTGTAACAGCTTTTCTTTCATAGATAGAAAATTGTGATAGTTATAGGACATTGTCTTCTTTTTTGCATGTTATTATTCTATGTTCTTTGGTGCAATATTTAATTAAATGAAAATTTTTTTGTGCATTACTACCATTAGTATAAAAAAAAGTAGGGTTAAGTGTTATCAACAGTAGAAAGCAAAAAATAAAAGTAAAAAAAAGAAAAGACATGGATAAGTACTTCTTTTCTTGTTTTTCATGTTTATTTTTTATGTATTATTACAAAAGACACTAAAATGTAAAAATAGGGTTTTTTTTAGGTTAGATTAGGTAAAATACATAATAACAGAATACAAATATTTCACGAGGCACACACGCGAGCAGCTCAGAGTAACTCGTGAATAATGTAATTTGATAGCGTAATGTGAGCTGCACGTTTCCCCAAGTGATTTACAACTTATAATGGTGCAAATAGTAGTTAGACTCAGTTCAAAGGGCAATAAAACAATAAAATTTAATTATAAATAGATGTATACCGTTACAAGTTTAAAGCTACTTAGAGTAAATGAATGTTGTTTCACATTACATTTGAAGTCATTCCAGAAAGAAAAAGATGGTAATTTAGATATATTTCGATTTTTTTTGGAGGTTACAAGGTCAGTCAAATTGACCAACCTTGTATAGAATTAGGGAAGAGAAAACAACAGATAAAAGTTTTATCGAAAATGCACTTAGAATGAATTTAAGAGGTTTAGGAATTACACAAATGAAATTTGAGATTGAGATGAAGGAAAGTATTTTCAATTTTAACATGAAAATCACTTTGCAAATGGACTATTGAAATCAAATACTCTATATATTCATGAACAAACTTTTTTTTTTAGTTGATTGAAAATATTTCACTAAAAAATATGATTTTGTATGTGAAAGACTTGTAATGTTTACCGAAAGGCTGCCAAATTTCGTGAAGATATAAACACTATATTAAAAGTTTGTGGTATCAAATCTATAAAGACTTTGAATGAGTACAAAGAAGTTATGTGGTCAGTCAAATTGACTGAGCTCATATTGAGAGAGTTAAGGGAAATATTATAATTGTCTGTTACAATTTGATATCATATTAGGAAAAAAGGTATTGACTTTTTCATGTTTTTAACTATTTGTTTCACTGTATATTGATGACTTCACTACACTTAGTGTTAAGAGTAGAGAAAATAAAAGATAAAGTAACAATTTTTATTCTAAAAAAACTTTTGATATCATGAAAATCACTTTTCACTCAGACTGACTCAGTAAAGGCTTTGCAAGTCCACAGAGAAATTTAAGAAAAATACTTTATTAAAATATCTGAATTTTTATATACAAGACACTTATGTTATCTAAGTGCTTGCCAAATTTCATGAAGATATACATATAACTTTTCCTGCCATTAACTTGTTTGGTAATAACAATAATATACAATCTTTGTTGTTTCATAAAACAATACATCTTTTCCTTCACTTCAACTTTCATCACTAATAAGCTTCCAAGAAAGGTACAATTAAGGGAGAATTTAAAAAGAATCAATCATAATTGTAGTAATGATACAGATGAAAACATTAAATGCTTTGAACTGAAATCACTTCTTTTGAACAACAAATATCCACTTTTTCAAACACATTTTCAAGGACAATGACAAAAACAGATTAACATCACACCTCTAACATAAAAAAAATAGTGAGAAACCAAGTAGACAACTTCTTAGTTACAAAAAATTAATTTTACAGTACCTCTAATTGATAAAATAAAATCCATAAAGAAACCTGAACTACTTATTAGTTTATAGAATGACCAGCTCCAATGCTCAGGAAAATCAACTTCCAAAATCTCAGTACACAACCCTGCAGTGTGGCAAAGCCAATTAACTGTCTCACAAAAATCTTACAATCTAAAGATAGGTGTCTTGATTCCAACATTGTTTACCAACTTGCATGTAACATTTGCTATCATACGCACATTGGTGAAACCAAAAAAACCCTATAAAAGGATAGATGAACACCTTGGCTATCTTTACAAACTACAACATAAGAAAAGCACAGTTACAGATTATTCTTTAACTAATCATGGCTAAGTAAATCCTGGCATGAATCTACAAATCTTACCAACATTACCAATAAACAATTTAAACAAGCTCTTCTTACCCAGCATTATGACCACAGATGAACAAGTACAAAGGATGGCAGTTTAAAATATTTTGAAGCTAAATTTAAATATAATTTTTATCTTTTCATAGTAAGCTTTTCTTTTAATGTTTAAAAAACAATAAAGAAAGAAAAAGAAGAAGCAAGATTTCCAGATACAAAATAAAGGATGTAACTGCTAACTTTATATTCCATAAATCCAATTAAAGTACACTATTTTTTTTGTGCTTACAATAACAGAGTACAGTAAAAAAAGTTGTATCTTAACTACACTCAAAGTATAAAGTAATTCTCCTTCCTAAACTACTTTTCTTATTTGAACTTACCACTGTACAAATGAATTTAGGATGGTTGAACAAGATAATCAGATGTCATAAAACAAGTTTTTTAAAATGATAAATATCTTCTAGCATCAAATCACACGAAAGGAAAATGTATGAACTGTTTTTATTTTGTGACTTGAAATACTTTAAAATATTAAAGCCATCAACTGTAGGCCTAATAGTGTTTTAGGATAGCATTGTTTCAATGAATAAGTTCAAGGATTATAAATGTGTCAACCTAAAATGTGATCTTGCAATCAAAAAAGAAAATGTAAAGAAGTAGAAATTGAACTTGAAATAAAAAGATTTCAAAATAGGCATCATAAATCAATTATTGAAACCTATGTATTATGTAAAACAAAGTACTTTTTTTTCTGCACTTACTTTCTTAATATTTGCTCCATTTCTTCCAATCAAGAACTTGTGATGTTCAGGTTTAGCTTTCAGTTCTACTGTGTAACTTGATAATTGCTAAAAAAAAAATTTTCTTGTTTACTAGAAACATCTTATTTTTATTGTAGGTCTTAAAGCAAATGAAAAACAACTTTGATGCTATCATGTCATTTCTGCCTTCTGTATTCACAATTTCACTATAAATAATATAGTGTAAGTTTTTTTTATATGGAGTTTATTCAAGGGAGAATGTAAAATAATCTAAACACTAACATATCCAACATTTTGTGCTTTGTTTAGTATTACAATAAAAAATTTTAAATATTTCCGATTAGCCTCAAAGTTCTTCAATGTTTCTTCTTTAGTATAGTAAATACTGAACAAACTCAACATGAAAATACAAGGAAAAACTGTGGTTAAAAACTAATAGCACTTTACATCTTCACACAATGTAATATCACTTAAAGATACAAAACCATTTTGTTATATCAAACATCACTGCAAAATGTACTGTGAATATCAGTAAGGAAATAAAACAAAACATTACCATGAATTTGTTTGATACTTTTCGGGTGATCAAAAGTACATTAGATTATGTATAATACAATTTGTCTCTTTATTATACATCAAGTGTGTGTGTGTGTGTGTGTGTGTGTGTGTGTGTGTGTGTGTGTGTGTGTGTGTGTGCGTGTATATATATAAATGTTTACACATGTCCCAAAGGAAAACGGCAATCACATACACACTTTATAAGTCTGTAATGTAGCTGTCTTTAATTTCTATTCCATAACTTATACTTTCCTATCAAATCCTGCAATTACGTATTACCAATTTCATCATGGTACTTTACCTGTTAGCATAATACAATATCATGATTCACTTTACAATCATTTACGGTACATGAAAAGAAAATGAAAAAAAATAGTTTCTGTATAAAGATCTTTATTCAGAGTAAGAAACAAGCACAGATGAATTAAGTAGTGGCTAAGCAAATACCTTTTCATTTGATAGGTCAATTAGCTGTTTTTTAGCTTTGTCAACATCTTCCTTTGGACCTCTGAGAGTGACTTTGTCACTTCCAGAGCCCTCTGGTGGAAACTTGATCGAAACTTTCCCACATTCATCCATGATAGAGCGGATAAGCTGTCCCTTGGCTCCAATGATGGAATTATGAAATCTTGCTGGTATGATAATGTCGACATCTACTATATTACCCTACACAATAAACAAGAGGCTATTAATTTTATGTTAAAAACTCGAAATATTTGGTATTGCATTGTGATAACATGACAGTACTAGAAATTTCTCAGTGATGTTACGTCAGTATTTCCATATTTACTGCAAATACTTTATAGAAAGACAAATACTTCTAACTTCAACTACAGTACAAATTTATAAACTTTTGGTATACCAGGTATAGATCTCATGAATAGATATGGCTGGACTATCTTGTGATGTTTTAGGTTCAGCTACTGTTTGTACAGATCTGGTAGACAACAGTGTAATGAAGAGCACACAAGTTTCTTATGTAATAAATCTGTCATGTTTGTAAACAATAACTTGCTATTGAGCTTTTTAGTATATAAAGTACAGAACTGTTGAATACCAAATATGCTAATATAATACCACTTTAATTACAATAATAATTAAAAGAAAAGTGAAGTTTAAATTGAGGTGCAAGTCAAAATAGCTAATTTTTTCTAACCTTTAGTTTAGTGAAAACATGGGAACTGAATATGTTTGCAAAAGTTATGATGGTAATGATTTAGTACTTGTCAAGATACAGTTTGAAATGATATGTTTGCAAGCTGAGAATGAACATTTGGAAATAGAAGCTAAGAATAAATGTTCAGAGCTATAGTTAAAGTAACATGTTTGCCTACATTTCATTTTATACTGACAGCCATGAAGCTGACTGTTGACCAACACACTTAATGCAAACAACTCTGTACAATATCAATCTGTATTCAAAATACACATTTGCATAGTAAATGCTATGTAACCTACACATAATCCTTGTTTTGTGTTTAAGCATAAATCTACACAATGAGCTTTTTGCACTGTGCCCACCATGGCTACCATTATAAGCTTACAAGTTTACTGCTGAGCCACCAGAGAGCAAAATGTATACAATTTTCTTCAATACAAACACTTAAAAGGAAATTATTACTTACTGGGGAAGCTATTTATTTTTTGTTGTTGTTGTTAAAATAGTTGAAAGATTCAAACTAAGTTCAGGGTTAATAATATAACTGAGAAGCCTCACTGCTGAATGGTCCTCTTTGGTATTGATGTTAGTATTGTTGCAGTTATGCTTTATGACAACAATTCTAACAAACAAAATAATCTGTTAAATAACATTTCCAAATCCCTGAATCCCAGCATGTTTAATGCTCACTGTACTATTTCAGTAAACAAATGTCATGGTCAATGACATTGTTAAACAATTACTTTGATAATTCAATGCCTTTCCAATCATTTCTTCAAAGCCAAATATTATAGCTTTCAGATGGTTGGTCTGAGTTACTGACATTAGAATAAGCCAAATGATTACATAAACACCCTGTGTTCTTACTTGCATATGTATTTTCAGAACAATATTCTTGACAATTAAAGTCCAAAGATTAATAGGGATTCCAACAGAAAAATTATAATTACTAACACTATTAAATAGAGTAGTAGAAGAAACAACATGCGTTTCAAATCTAAACTTAAAATAGACCACTGTTGCAACAATTCTTTTCTAAGAATACTTGTACAATTCCATGACAGTTTTAAACTTGTTTTGATGCATTTTAACAGACATGGTAATATCCAAATTAGTGATAGCCTTGTGTCAACCACTGTATGTCAGTATAAACAAATTGATTTTTTGTTTGTTTGTTTGTTATGTATTTCGTGCAAAGCTAAACGAGGGCTATTTGCGCTAGCCGTCCCTAATTTAGCAGTGCAAGACTAGAGGGAAGGTAGCTAGTCATCACCACCCACCGCAAATGCTTTGGGCTACTCATTTACCAATGAATAGTGGGATTGACCGTCACATTATAACACCTCCACAGCTGAAAGGACGAGCATGTTGGGTGTGACAGGGATTCGAATCTGTGACCCACAGATTGTGAGTCGAGCACCCTAACCACCTGCCCATGCCGGGTACTAAACAAATTGAATCCAGACTGGTAAACAATACAGAAATATCCTGTGAATTGTATGCTCTGATTAGATATAACTGGAGATTTGTTTAAGTCACAAACATAATTACATTCCAAAATGTGTTTAACAGTTTTAGCTAACCCACAATGATTTAACTGAAATAACTGCATTAATTCCACTGAAATGGTTTAAAAAAAACATTTCATTGTATCCTCCATTCAAAGAAATAATCTAAAATATGACAATTTCGATTTTTAATATTTCAGCTAAATGCTAATATTTATAATTTAACACTGCCAAAAGAAAATCTTCCCAGACATTAATATTTTGAAATGACTGATCACCACTGGTATTAAATTTTATAGTAATTTTCAGGCATCTCACTGATGTTGTATGCAAGTCCTGCACACAAGACATGTAAGAATACACCATTTGACAAGCATTGTTGTAGAGATATTTTGTCTTTATAGTTAAACACACTTACAAAACTCTTAAAGTGTAAAGAAATTAATATTTAATTGGTGGAGAAAATATAGAAATGTGAACCTGAAATGACCAACTGCCCAAGTAAGAAAAACAGTCAATTTTCAGTTTGGATAGACAATATTTACTCTCAACATTTGTTATAGCAATTGATCAAGTGAATGTTTAAGACATCCAATTAGTTTTATCTTAATTTTTTTTTAATTCCATTTCATTTCCAAAAGATAATCTTATATGTCCTATTTGTCAAGATAGTTATCACTTTTTTTTTTTAGATGTTTGGTTAGTCTTCTGGTAAAAATAAGACATAAGAAATAATCTGGTACGACTAAATTTTCAATGTGTATTCAACACTATTAGTGATTGAATTCTCTTATATTCTTGTATACAGTATTGTCAGGTTTATTGACAGTGCTATGATAATACTAATACAGCTATTTTAAGTAAATCGTGTGTATTCATAGTTACTAGTAATATTTTTTCAGAAAGTTTGACTTTCCATCATAAATTATGTTACATTAAAAGAATCGAAAAACACCAAGTAATCATGAAAACATCACACTTAATAACATACATTAGTTGCTGCACAATTATTACTCCAAATATAGCAATGATGTTCTATACATGAATATAACAGTTGTACATTTTTCTTATTGGAGTAATTTTTCTAGCATCCCCCTTACAGTTTCAGGACAATCCATTGAACTTACTTGCGTATATTGTACATTACTTGATATTCCACGCGAATCAGTATGATTTGCTTTTACAGGTTTCATTACTTGTATATAGAAAGTAGACCACAAGCACAGCCTGTGTGGTTCTTCAGTCTGCTGCTGAATATTTCTATGTTGGTCAAAGTATACACCCCGATAAAATAAAAGGTGCTTAACTACATTCCCTAATCTTTTGTTTCTCCAAAGCAAAAGCATTTGAATCCATTTTTTTCAATGTCTTGATTTTACAATAACTCAAAAGTTTAGTTTTATAGTTATATTTAGAAAGCAATAAAAGTTCTGTCCTGGAAACTAGTGATTTACAGTGTGGTGCACAACATTTACATATTGACCATTAAAGTATCAGTTGAAATATTTAAAAAAGTCCTGACATGTATCATGTTCTAGCTATACAATCTCCTACTCATTAAATATTGTTTTCACATATTATTGTTAGCAAGAAAAATCAGCTTTTATACTTGTTATTTATAAAGTTTAGTTTTATATTGACAATCACTACTCAGTAACTTAAACTATATTTTGATAACTAAAATGCCCTAGTCATTTCAAGGTTAACAGTTCAAGACTGTCATCACATAAGACCTCAAAATAACCCCGAAAAAGTTTTCTGCACACAAATATTGGACCAAAGGTTAAACATTGCTAACAGCTTGAAAATCACACAACTGTGTGCAACTTTGTGACTATCATATTAACTCTGTCTACAGACTCTGTAATTTTGACAACAACATAACCATGAAAGTATACTTACTATGTGTATCTCCATGAAATTTTTGCAAGATTTTAGTAAATAATACAAATATTTTGTATACAAAAAAATTAATTTTTAATCATATATATTTACTAAAATTTATCTGTGAATTTATGGAGTCAGTGTGACTCTGACTAGTCTGAATGCAAGATTTAAATTAAGGTTAATAATACTTTTTGTTCATCTAAAAATTTTAAAATTTCATTTGCACAACCTTTAGAACTTTCCAAATGAATATCTTTTTTTCCAGTAAAATGTTATAGTGTGTTATTTTTTTACCCTAACACTATAAGGACTCAGTCCATTTAACCGATCTCATAATAACCACAAAAAAATAAATAAATAAATAAATAAATCTATATTACTATTCTTTCTAAAATAACCACAGACTGTAACAAAAAAAATCACTATTTATCTTAAACAGCCTCAGCCTCCTAACAGTTTATATCTGTTTTTATTGTTCTTTGAACCAGTAACTATTAGTCCCATGTGACATGCTGTGAAAAACATGGCAAACACATACAGTATCTCAAAACAGGGTATTGAATTAAATATGCACATGCAGCTTGCATTTTTATTTAATATTTTTTATATTTGTTTCCTTATCTAACCTAACAAGTTTCTAATTTTAATTACTTCTGTACCAGTAAATGAAAAAAATATAAATATAAAACAAAACGTTTAGTACTTACATCTGGCCTAGATTTTGTTGCTCTCAGTTCCCAAAGAAATTTAACTACTTTTGTAATGTAATTGTATTTAATTTCAAATATACAATTAAGAATAAAAACACAAAGCTCATTAATTTCCTATAACTATTAAAACTTAGTTAAGGTACAAGTGCCTTAAAGTAATTTACTTGCATTGTCAATGTAAACTGTGTAACAGTAACAATGAATCTATTGGCCAAGTAATTCAAATATTGTCATCAGAATGTGTTAGCCCTATACAACAAGAAAATCCAAAACCTTCTCTATTGGTTATAAATAATCAAAGATCAAATGTCACAGAGAATTATTTACATTTTGTGAAAGACAGGAGTGTGGTAAGTGGGTTTGATTTTTGAAAACCAAAATGATTGGAAGCTATAAAATTAGACTATGCTTCAGTAATATCTAAATTATAAACGTTTAATTTTGGTTATTTTCAGGACATCCTCCTGTAACATTAACATGACCATTGTTAACTTTGTACACTTGCATTCAAAATTTAAACTTCTTTATTATCAATGTATATCAGTAAACTGGGTGTCTAAACGTAATTAATAAATCAGACATTAATATGACAAATTTTGCTTGCTTAATTTCAAAAGAAATATATTCAAATAAATTCTCTGTATCACATGACACTGAATTGCTTATTTTTGATTTTCTTATCACCATATCTTATGCCATTCAAATCAGGTAGCTGATGGAATTATTTTAAGGCCCTTATGCCATAGTTAGAAAGCCAGTTAAGTTATAATAATTATAGGACATTGTTTGCTTTGTGTATGTGTTATTATATTGTCTTGTTAAGTGCATTCTTCAAATAAATAAATATTTAATGTACTAGTACCATCATTACACAAAAAAAGTAGGCTTAAGTTTTATCAGCAGGCCAATAATAAAAGAGGCCAAACTTCACCAAATTTCTTGTTTTTTTTATGCATTTATTTTTCTTGATATGAAACTTGTATGGAAAATTATAAACTTTAGGTTAGATACAGCTAGATTAAGTAAGATAATGAAAAAATAAGTTTCTCCACAGGGTATGCTTGCGAGTAGCTTCTGCATTATGTCATTCCATACGATAATTTGAGCTATGCATCTGCCAAGTTATTTACAGCTTATATCATGGGATTATTTATTATATGGTTCAAAGTGAAATAAAACAAAATTAAAAACAGATGTAGACTGTTTCGAGTTTTTAGTTATTGAAGATAAACAATTGTATTTTTCTGTTACGATGTGAGGTCATTCTAGAAATAAAACAAAAAAGTAATTTAGACTTATTTCATTTTTTTTTGTGGTATTTATAAGAGAGTCAATAGAGTCCGTACAGAGAAAAGTTAGAGAAAATCAAGGAAGAAATATAAAATTTTGCTGAAAACACTAATAGGTTTAAGAGGATATTTGAGTGAAATTTGAAAACTGTACAGGGAATAAAAGTATTTTTAATTTTAACATGAAAATCACCTTGTTCTCAGGCTAGTCACTGATTCCATGTGTTCGCATACAAATCTTTAATAAAAATAATGTTACATATAATAAATCATTTCAAAGGTACAATTACAGCCAATAATAAGTGTAAATTACACATCAAGGAAACTATCCTAATTCATAAACTTTGACTAGTAATAAATAACGTGTGTTGAGAAGTTCTTGTTAATATCATAAGCATGCAAGTTGATCCTACCTGAAATACTGACCAAGCCATCCAAAATTAGTATCTCATTGCTTCATGTGTAAATCACACATTTAGAAATAAATCCATCAACCAAGACCAAGAAGTTCAGGAATGAAAGCTAGCGACATTTACCGATTTATTGCATATAACAAGTTCCATACTGCTGGATTTCATGGGACAGGCTACAGCCTATAAGCCACTCTTCTGGTTATTAACCCAAGGGTTTGAATCTTATGGTACCCGACTATTAAAACTTAGGAGAACATTTGGAGATTATCACATGGAGTTACAATTCTTGCTACTTGTAGTTCACTTTGGATGACTACGTCTTCTTTTATCGGGATCTTAGATAAACTTTTAATTATTTTTTTTTATTGTCCTAACTATGAAGAATGGCAATATCATGGTGTGGGCTCATATTAGCTATTTTGGACCCCATCCATTGGTAATAGTTGTAGGAATAAAGTATGCCTTTCAATAATGAAGCTCTTGTAGGAAACAGAATTACCTTTCTTGAAAAGACAGAGTAACAAATGCAATTTCATAATTCTCCTATGGTAGGAACAGTTTTCTTGAAATAATTGTAGAAATACAAAAATGATAATGTATTTTTTCATGTGTTTAATAGTGGTTTGAAATAAGTGTCACCCAAACTTTTCCTTGGACAACACAGTCTTTACTTTATCCAAATGAACAAATTTAGGAGGCTTTGGTACAAAGTATGTGGGACGAAAAGAACTATTAAATCCTCAAATTACAGACCACATTTATAACTGCAAATTTGTACTAGTTTATGGCAAGTTGAACAATGTTATTAACACTAAGACCAAAAAGTTAGACTACAACAGCAAAAGACAACATCCACCTTCTCTAGGTGTACTGTTCCAATACTTTAAGGGTATGAAATGGTTAAGTAATAGTATTATCAGACTGTTAAGACAATAGAAAGAAAAAAAAAAAAAATCAGGATTTCTTTGTTCTTACACCATCTTTAGCAATAAATTGGTGCTGCTGACAAAATTATGATATGAAATACTTATTAAATGTGACATTTTTTTAAAACTTAGTTATTTACAGAACAATTTATTTACGATTTTATGACTTTTTCCCATTCATTTAGCAGCTTTCTCAGTTCACACCCTCTGAGTCTATTCATCAATCTTACTATAGAAAGCTTACCAATTCATTTTGGAGAGAAAGAATTTGTTCTTTTGCTGCTAAGGCATTTTCCTTTTTACCTGTGATTACAAAAGTCACAGATTCACTGTTATCTGGTGGTATTTCAATTTTGGTTTCAGTTTCTGACTGGATCTAAAAAAAAGTTAAATATACTAAAATATTCAATCTATATATTAATAGCAAATTACACTTTATGGTGTAGTAGAAAAATGCATAAGGATATTTTCTAACATGTACATGATATGAAGTATTACTGTCAAGTAACTAATTGATTACAGAATCACCTTAGGAATATCTGCATCAAGATATATTCTGAAGGACTGATTATGTCCAGAAGAACAAATTGTGAACTGCTGCTAACTAGATAAGTTTACAAACAATGAAGTCTATCCATAGCAGCAATATCCTCAAGGACAGCCCTTAAAAATATCCTTGTCACAATTACAACAAACACAAGTTTGTATCTAATACCCAAACATTCTCAAAGTGGAACATAACCACATAGTTATCAGACATGTGTATCAATTATTCTAAAAATAATGTTCAACTCTATATAATATTTCATTCATCTCACTCTTACAAGAACATTAAGCTGTTCTTTGCAATAATTTGTTTAAAACTATGTACTTAATTAATCCATAGTTTTACAATACTGGGGAATCTATAAGTTGTATAGTGAACCCAAAACAGTAGAGAAGTTGATGTACAAAAGGCCTTTCTAGAAAACTAAAGTCAGCAGAGCCATAAATAAAAGTTCAAAAAAAAAAGTTCTGTAGGTTTAAAGCCATATACACTAATATTTGTTAAAGCTTGAAATTTCCCATACCACTTTTTATGCATATTATATCCAAAGTAAATTTTTACAGAGTAGTCTAGAAGTTTTGGTTTATCAAGAAAAAAAAAATTGTAGGAAAGTAAACAATGAGTATAGTTGATTTGTTGACATTCTTTCTCAACATATGGTTACAAAAAAGTTAAAATTTGACCTATATTTTGTTTCAGCCCACTCATTTGTGTGAGGAATAGAACCAGAGATCTTTCAGACATAAATGTCTTATTAAAGTATTAATCAGCATTATTTTTTCCACTTCTTAACACTTGTAGAATACCAAGAGATTTAGTTTGAGATATATATATATATATATATATATATATATATACACACACACACACACTACTATACTATACTACTTTACGTTTTGTTTTGTTTAGTTTCGTTTGTAGTACTACTAAACTAAAACTAACTAGTTA